CCTTTCTAGATGTAGGATATTTAAGAGGGGGGTTGGTAAATCCTTTTTTGCCATTGGAGGGGTACTTAGCATCCAAATATGAGTACCATGACCTTTTCTTTTCCTTTTGGAAATATGCATAGCCACTTCATAAGTAAAGATGACTTTGAAGGCCATGATTGAAAAATTTAGACCATAAGAATATTTTCTTTTTTGGATGAACATGATTAGGTCTTATTGCATTACTTTGTTGGATTGAAATTCAAGCATTTCTATCTCAATCTTATGGCAATTTCTTCTTTAAATCACATCAAATTTGGCTTGACATTATAAGAAGCAACTTCCCCGTAGGCTCGATTCAGTTCCCTCTTATACCTTCTATCCTATGTCTTATCACCCAGAATTGCATTCTATCAAACTTGTGGTACTTAATGGTGAATTAAAAGATTGAATTGCTTTAGTTTTCAATAACGCTCTCGCTAATTAGTCTTTTTGTACCCACCCATCCTATTTGAGAGTGATTCAATATCAATAGGGGAACCTCCTAATGAGGAAGTTCGTTCTCTCAAAAAACCATTTTTCTGTAAAGCATTTTTTTTCTTTTTGGGGCAAGAATTCATGTAGGTTTAAGAATGCACCCAATTGGGACATTCTTTCAAAACATGAAACCATAGTTGTCAAATCGGGTATCGGTGTATCGTTTTTAAAAAATAGTGTATCGTATTGTATCATGTATCGTAAGATACGCGCAATTTTAATTTTTAAATAATTATTAATAAAAAAGTCATAGACTCATAATAAAATTGCATTTCATTATTATTCTACAAATTATTCAAGTTTTCAACATAGTTCAGTATTATCAAAATGCAAAGACTTTTAATTCAAACTTTTAACATCAATTACTTAAATAATCTTAATATGAATTAGGAATTTTGAATTCAATTGAACAACATTAACAACAGGCTTTATTTTATTTTTTTTAAACCATAATCACTAAAACGACGTTTCACTAGCTAGTGATTTAAAAATAAGTCATGGGGTAAGACGATGTTATTTCAATCCCAAAAAATCAAAAAAAATAAAAAATAGAATCGTCATGTATCTTGCGTATCATATCATATTGTGTGTCATACGATACGGTACAAAAATCGTACAGAGACACAATATGTATCGTTTTTTTGGTGTATCGTGATGTATCGTATGATACGTATCGTGTATCGTATGATACTAATAAGTATGCATGAAACCATTATCTCAATTGATAGGGAGGATCAAAAAGCGATTGCATAAGTTTAAATTGAAGAATTGAATTTTATTACTTATTTTAGAGTTATTATATTATTTAGGAGATATTTGTTTTAGCAAATTTTAGTTAATGAGAGTTTGATTAAGAAACTATTTTTGAATTTTAGAGGAGAGTAATTTTTGTTTTGACCTATACTTATTAATAAAATCCCTATTATTATAATAGAGAGTAATATTAGAAGAACAGTGGAGAATTTGTATATTTCTTGACTTAATCCTTGCAAGGGTTTGATATTTATTGTTTTTTCTCCTCCTCTTTTCGTATTGTATTAATTGGAATCAGACCAAAACTCCGATCCATATCCTCTTGCTACTTCTCCAGTTTGCTACTGCTATTCATAGTCGTCGTCTTCTTCAACAACGACTTCTCTGTCACTATCGAACAAATCCATTGTATCTATTCTCTTCATTTGGGATATTTTATTCTCATTATCATCATAAATATACACTTTGCTTGCTTTAGAAGTTGAGAATCTAGCTTAAATCACTACAATAGTAGCTAGGGTAGACAACATCTAAGATCGACCCAGATTCTTTAAAGCGAACATTACTCAATTTACAATCCCAAATCTAGCCCAAAATCATTGAGCCTAATACAAAAAAGAGGCCCAGCCTGTTTGACTTTAACCGCAACCCAACCTAAATTGTCAAAAAATTCTAATTAAACAATCTCCTTGGGCCCCTGATTTTTATACAATCATACAATACCCCCACAACTTTCAAAAATTAAGGGCATGTTTGGTTTGCATTTCAAAAAACAGTATTCGAAAATAGTTTTTGAGAAGAGTTTTAAATAAGTTATATTGATGTTTCTGAGATAAAAAATTTATTTAGTTAGATGATTCTAAAAACAGTTTCACAAAATAAAAAACAAAAATCGTGTTTGGATTGAGAGTTTCATATAAAATATTTTAATATATTAAACTTGATAAAATANCTCTTTTCGTATTGTATTAATTGGAATCAGACCAAAACTCCGATCCATATCCTCTTGCTACTTCTCCAGTTAGCTACTGCTATTCATAGTCGTCGTCTTCTTCAACAACGACTTCTCTGTCACTATCGAATTCAAAATGACAAAAAGAAATAACCTAACTGATCATGATTGGGTACGCAACGTCTTATGATTTAATCCTTACGATATTTAAACAAATAGGGATCCTTCTAGAAAAAGTTACATACCTTTCTTAAAAATTTGTGTTTATCAGTTGAGGTATAGTGAAAATGAATGGTATCTATGGCCAAATAATTGGGAATATCCATATACCATGGTACCTCAGTAATTTCAAAAAGTTTGTCATCAGGAAAGGTTTATTTAATCGTAAAAGGTTGTTCTTTTGTATCATAATTTAGCCTTAACAGATAGTCGGCTACCACATTCTATATTGCTTTCTTATATTTGATAATGAGATCAAACTCTTGAAGTAGGAGTATCCATCGGAGGACGCATGGTTTAACATCCTTTTTTGTGAGAAAGTACTTTAAAACCGTATGATTAGTAAAAAAAACAATTGAGGATCCAACCAAATAAGAATGAAATTTATCTAAGGCAAATAAAACTACAAGCAATTCCTTTTCTATGGTAGAATAATTTATTTCTGCGGTAGACAACATCTAAGATCGACCCAGATTCTTTAAAGCGAACATTACTCAATTTACAATCCCAAATCTAGCCCAAAATCATTGAGCCTAATACAAAAAAGAGGCCCAGCCTGTTTGACTTTAACCGCAACCCAACCTAAATTGTCAAAAAATTCTAATTAAACAATCTCCTTGGGCCCCTGATTTTTATACAATCATACAATACCCCCACAACTTTCAAAAATTAAGGGCATGTTTGGTTTGCATTTCAAAAAACAGTATTCGAAAATAGTTTTTGAGAAGAGTTTTAAATAAGTTATATTGATGTTTCTGAGATAAAAAATTTATTTAGTTAGATGATTCTAAAAACAGTTTCACAAAATAAAAAACAAAAATCGTGTTTTGATTGAGAGTTTCATATAAAATATTTTAATATATTAAACTTGATAAAATATAAAAAAAAAAAAAATACCAATCTTTGTTGAAGCAGCGATCATCTCTTATCTCTCTCAAAATCTCCAAATGGCCAAATTACATAAGAAACGGTGTCCACAACAAATTGAAGAAAAAGATGTTGTATCTCCTTCAAGCTAGATGCCAAAACAAAAAAGAGATGATCCATTGTATGTATCTCCTTCAAGGCAAATGCCAAAAAAAAAAATTGAAGATGATGTTAAAATCAGATCTTGAACCCAGATGCAGAAAAAAAAAGATAGATCTTGAACCTAGTGATTGTTGAAATTAGATCTTGAACGCAGTGATTGTTGAAATCAGATCTTGAACGCAGTGATTGTTGAAATCAGATCTTGACCTAGTAATTGTTACTCTGTTGAAACAACGATCGTTGTTTTGGTCTTCGTTACTCAGTTGAAGCAACACAGCGATCGTTGCACACACACACACACACACACACACACACAGAGAAACATTCTTTGTTACTCGGTTGGAGCAGAACAACGAGAGAGAGAGAGGAGATGGAGAAAACTTAAGTGGAGGCTTTTATACTTCGATGAAAAAAATGTGTTTTGTTGCTAATGAGGTTTGATGGGTGGATCTCATTAAAGAGTAGGGGCTATTTCCCTTGTTTTCTATTTTGCCCTGAAAACTCAAAAAATATCTAACTGATGTTCTCTAATTTTTGTTCAGAATTCTCACTTTTTTTGAAAAATTATTTTTGAAAATTGCTGTTCAAACAGCATCTCACAAAATTTTGTGTTTTGAGAATAAAAAACTGTTTTCAAAATACAAACCAAACACACCCTAAATATCTATCCCCATAAAGTTTAGAAATTAATCTTCAAAGATTTTTAAATTACATAGTTGACTATAAGTTTTCAAAATTACAATATTTCTCTAGAATTCTTTGAAGTTACATAATTAACCAAATAAGTTTTTGAAATTATAGTTTTGCCCCATAATTACCTGGAGTTTCTCAGAACACTCTTTCCATCAGGATGTTAACAAACACCGAGTCTTGCAAGGATTGAGGTATGTGGTGCTCAGATAGATTTATTCCAAGCATGAGTGGATTTACTCTAAGCAGCTGGGCATTCACTCCAAGCATCATTGAATTTAAAAGAAAGTGTAACCAAGCTAGTTGCTATATTTGGAGTTATGTTACCCATCAACAAGTGTTTGAACAAGGTAGATATTGATTTATCCTCTTCATCCATTATTCATCAACAAATGGTTGAACAAGTCCCTACAGCACACACTCCTCCACAATCACAAGCGTAATTGGCCAGGTAAGTATTCTTCTCAAGCGTAATTGGCTGGTCTTGATAAGTTTTCTTGTCCCTTTTAGGCGTAATTGGCGTGAAAAATCATCAAATTTTGAGGTTGTCAATTCTGGGGAGTTTGGGGTTGTGCTTCCAANTAAGTTTTCTTGTCCCTTTTAGGCGTAATTGGCGTGAAAAATCATCAAATTTTGAGGTTGTCAATTCTGGGGAGTTTGGGGTTGTGCTTCCAAAGAATTGTGAGTGTGTAGGTCCTTCTCCGGGTTGTTGTGCTTTGAAATTTGATAATCTTGAGGATGAATTTATAAAGGATGATGCTAGAGGCCTTGAAATTCCATAGGGGAGGATTTTTGATGCTTGATTTGGGAAGGAAATAGTTATTTTGGTATAGGAAAGACAATGGAGGAAGGGGTGGGAGACGGAAACTTGGAAATTGATATCCCTAAGCAGGTTCATAATAATTGTTGCCATATGTTATTGGGGAGTGAAGATGGGGCAGATGGAGATTGTTTGTTTGATGAAGTAACTTGGGTTTGATTGAGAGATCTTCTGGTGAAAATGGATATTTCATTAGTGCATAATTCGGGAAAAATGAAGGAAAAATAGTGAAGGGAGTTGAGTAAGGAAGAATAGTGATTTGAGGGAGTTAAGAAATTTAGAACCAGGGGTGAATTATGAGGACAATTGTTCTAAGAGAGTTGGAGGGGGGGAGTTAGTTGTCTTATGAAGATCTTAAGCTAGAATGTGCAAGGACTAGGGTATAGGAAGAAGAAAAGTTCCATTAAGGAGGATGTGATAAAGGTAGATCTGGACATTGTAGTGTTACAAGAGACTAAGAGGGAGGTGTTTTATAAAAGAATTGTCTAATATTTGGGGACTTAGATATAAAGACCGTGCCTTTTTGCCTTCATATGGTAAATCAGGGGGTGTGGTCATTGTGTGGGATATGAGGGTTGTGTTTTCCTTAGAGGTTGGTGGAGGGGTGTTTATTCTTTCAATTCATTTTAGGAGGAATGATGGATTAGAGTGGTGGTTGTCAAGGGTTTATGGTCCGAATAGTAGTAGACTAAGGAAAGATTTTTGGGAAGAGTTAGCGGGGCTTTATGGTTTATATGGCTCCAGGTGGTGTTTGGGGGGAGATTTTAATGTGGTGAGATATGTGATTGAGAAATCATCTGGGGGTAGGATAATTAGAAGTATTGGTGATTTTAATGTTTTGATTAGGAAAAGGTAATGCTTCCTATACCTAGACTAATTTGAGGGAGAATATTATTCTCATTGGAGTGGGAGGAGTGTTTTCCAAATGTGAGACAAGACGCACTAGTTAGAGTTGTTTCAGGTCATTTTCCTATTGTTTCACATTCAAGTGTTTTTAAGTTGGGTCCAGTTCCTTTAGGTTGGTATCTGAGCAAATTAATTAGGGTTTAGATTTATCCTTTTATTTCCCTTCCCCCCCCCCCCTGTTTTTGGTTTTTGCCTCGTCTCTTTCTCTTTTACAGAATCCCAATGGAGGTTCTCAAATTGGGTTGGTTTTTCGTTGGACTGATCATGAAGCTCTTATGGAATGATATAAGTGCTTTGACATTATGGTTGACGCAACACAGGGTTGTATTGGAAAAAAAATGCGTTTGTTGCAGCGTTGAGGTTGTTGTTTGGTTCTGCGTGTTTTCTAGTCATCAAATTCATCGAAATCAATCGAAGTTGCAGCTGAGCTCTCGTTGAGCTGTTTGCTGCATTTCTCTGCTATTCTTTCATGGCTATAACTTCATTAGTTGTTGGAATTTTTCCTAGGGATGGCTGTTGCTTGAATTACTGACAGTGGTAGTCATCATGGATCGCTGGTGTGTTGTTGTAATTGTGGTGGATCCTTGGTGTGTTGTTTGCATGCACAGTGTGTGCTAGGTGTCTGGCGTTTGAAGCGTCGACGGAGAAGACAAACTATTGGGCAAGACTTCAAATCCATGGATCAGGTTCGGTTCAGACTATTTTAAGCCCAAAGGCCCCAAACCTTTTTTTTTTGTACGAGCCGATTACATTGGAGGTCCACCTTAGTTCTCACCCAGAACCCGGTTACTGGCCAACTGGTTCATCCACAGACTGGTTTAGATCTATAGACCAAACTGGTTCAGATAATTTCACCTTTGTATCAGACCGGTTCAGGTATGTTGCTTCTGTTCGTCTTTTTCTTCTCCTTTTTTGGTCTGATCCACTTCCAGGCAGTATTCCAGCACTAGTTTCTTGTGTTGTTGGGCCAGTTCAGTATATCCCAGGGTCGGTTTACTCCGGTTCAGTGTATTCTAGCTTCGGTTGAGTGAATTTCAGTCTGGTTTAGTATATTCCAGTGCTGATTCTATCGGATTCAACCTGGTTCAGCCCTTCTTTGTATGGTTCAAGTTCGATTTTGTGAGATTTTTACGCCTCGACTGCTTTTCCAACTTCCTGTACAGTGCAAGGAACAGCTATAGCTTTTGTTTCTGCCATATGTTTGACTTCTTGTTCATGTTTTTGAGATCCTGTGGCGTTGCTTGATTTAGTAGCGTGCTTTCTACAATTTTAGTGAGTGTTCTTGACCCAGATTTGCATTTTAAGTTGTGATTTTGCACTCTTGATGTTGATTTGGGTATTCTCAGTTGTGGTGTGTGGTTTGTGACTTTAGCTTGTGTGATTGCTGACCCTTGTGGGTTTCTCAATGACGATTTTCAATGGTGGGCTATGGACAAGACGCAATGTGGTGGTCGATCTATGTGGCAGTGTACTTATTGTGGTCGCATATACAATACTGCAGATTATTGTTGGGATAAGTATGACAGACCAACATATGCTAATCAGGGCTTTAAGGATACTCTAGGTCCTCTGCATCAGATTTCTACCAATGGTCCAAAGATCTTTCTTTTCAGCTTTGTCAGCCCAACCAATTGTTATCTTCACTTTCTTCCCATTTATCTGCTCCTATTACTGATCTTGCTGATGGAGGTAACTTTTTATGTGTGGTTTGCTCAATCTCCTTCGTCCTATTGGATCATTGACTTAGGAGCTAGTGCTCATATGTCTGGTATTTCCTCCCTTTCCTCTAAATTTCACTCGTCTAACTCACGTATTGTATTAGCTTATGGTTCCTTAGACTTGTACGTGGGACCGACGATCTCCATCCTACTCAATTTATGTCATAAACTTCTGGTTTGTTTGCTCCTAATTTTCTTTTTAATTTGTCTGTGAGTCAATTAATTAAGTCATTACAGTATTCTGTAACATTCTTTCCCTTCTTATGTGTTTTTTAGGACCTCAAAAACGAAGAAGATGATTGCTTTGGGGCATGAGCACAATAGCCTATACTACTTAGATCTTGGTGTTTTTATTCCAGCCTTGAGTGCTACTGTGTCCCCTCTTCAGTGGCACTTTTGAATCAGTCATCCTTTCTTGCAAAAGTTGCGTCAAGTTCTCCCTGGTTTGAGTTCTTATTCTTTGTTAGAATGTGAGACTTGTTAATTAGGCAAACATTTCATGTTGTTTATACAGATATTTGGGGTCCTACAAGAGTCGAAAGGATTTATGGTTTTTCAGTATTTTGTAATCTTTGTTGATGATTTCTCCTGCATGGCTTGGTTATATCTTATGATTGACCGATCTTAATTGCCTATGGTCTTTACCATATACTGAAATTCTGGTTCAGTATGTTGGCATAGCTGGTGTGTCCTGCACCGTTGCTGGCCTCTCAAACGCATCTCCCCCCCCCTCCCCCCCTCGTTTCCCCTTTTCTTCCTTTCCCCTTCTTGTTTGACATTGTTAATTTAGTCTAACTTTTCGCTTTCACAAATCAAGACTTTCCATTCATGTTTCCCGGGAGGACTCTTTCATCGCATTTTACTCACACTTGTGTTCATTCACCTGTTTATATTGTTGAAATTTCTTTGTCTACCAACTCGCATATTTAGGGAGAAGAACATACAACCTGTTCAAAAAAAAAGAAAACCAACACTAAAGTACAGACTAGGTTGAGCCCAGAAGAGAACAAAAGCATCATGTGGCAAAAACAGCTATTAAACCAGAAACAGAACATTAACATAGTCAATGTCGGGAGAAGCGATGACCCTGCATGCCCTAAACATTATTATTTTTGTCTTTGTAACAAAGTTGGTAAAAATAATGTAGTACAAGAGAGAGAATCCTAATCAGTATCTTCAGTCACACTCTATCTCCTTTTTTTTTCATCTTCTTTCTTTCATTCTATGAAACATTAAATGTATTATGATATCAGATCATGACTAGTATTTCTTGCTCATTACTGCATGAAGAAAGCGTACTCATTGACATTGGCCAAATAATAGGAGGCGAAAAGGAAGAGTACCATCTCTAGCAGATTTCATCTGAAAACTATGGAGTTGGATCAGAAATTGTTTCATGCATTTTTTTTTGTCATTTCCTTGTGTTTTTAAGAAAGACGTGAATATGAATTTTGGTATTTACTCACTCGCATTAATTCACCTGTGCATATATGAGTAAAAGCTTTGCAGAACGAATGCTTCTCTGTGCTAGTCATTTCTCTTCATAACGAATTTGATAACCTGCATCTTTGTTGGATTTTCTTGTAACCTTAATAGCTCGACCTGTACTGTTTATTTATGTCAACTAAACTCTGTTTTCCCATTATGTTGACTGGTTATTTTGTTTGCGGAATAGATGGATGAGGTGCTGGCTTCAGTTGCCGAGACAATAAAGAACTTTGCAGTGATTTACCTGGTGGACATCACTGAAGTGCCTGACTTCAACACTATGTATGAGTTGTATGACCCATCCACAGTTATGTTCTTCTTCAGGAACAAGCACATTATGATTGATCTTGGCACCGGAAACAACAACAAGATCAACTGGGCTCTCAAGGATAAACAAGAGTTCATTGACATTATTGAGACTGTCTACCGTGGTGCAAGGAAGGGTCGTGGTCTAGTTATAGCACCCAAGGACTACTCCACTAAGTACCGCTACTGAGTACCCTACTCTGCTCCTGAATGGGGTGTCCTAAACTTAGAATTTCCTTTGGATGATATATTCATAGCCGTTTGAAATGAACTGAATATTTCTATTCTGCTCTGTTGTGTCTTGCATATTTGTTAAAAAAATTGCTTGTGGCCTTGGTATTATGGCATGATTGGTGTTAATGCACGCTAGTTGTCTTGACCTTGTCAACCTTGGATTCGCATGGAAGTACATGGTGTAGCTTTGTGCCGTGTAAGTTCAGCTTATGTCTCCTGTGTCCTCCATTCTTTATTCGACATGTCTGTCTGATCGTGTGCATGTTTATGTATTTCTGAAATATGGAGCCTTGCTAATTGCAAGTACTTGCGCTGAAAATAAGATTTTCCAAAGGTACATATAATTGGATGACTTCTTTTCCTTACCGATTTGACGAGCTTGCTATAACATATAGTCGGGAGGATGTGGCTCCCATCCAAGGTAAATTTGGGTNTAATTGGATGACTTCTTTTCCTTACCGATTTGACGAGCTTGCTATAACATATAGTTGGGAGGATGTGGCTCCCATCCAAGGTAAATTTGGGTGCCCTCTCTCTTTACAGAGTGCTGATTCTTGATATGAAGATATGAATATTCGCATCCACTTTCATTGCAGTTTAATTTTTGTCTGGTATTGCTTTTTGCTTCTAAGAAATGAACAAGGTAAGACCATTTATGATTTTAGCAAATGGTGTTTCTATGGCCTCGCATCAATAAGCTTAGAGGCATTCTCGATTGGAGAAGATTGGAGAAGAACAAAATAAAGTGAAAATTAGGGTCGAGTCCTCCTTAAGAGATTTATAACGAGTTTAGTTTGTCAAAAATAGTTATTTAGGCATAAGTTCGCTTTTAATCTTATTAATAAGTAGTTAAGATAACTATTTTTTTAAAATTTTATTATACCTTTCTTTGAAAGTAATTTTAAATTAATTTTTTAATTTTAGAATTATTATCTTTAATTTCACTATCAATGAAGTTATGTTAATAAATTTTTTTATATAAATTTAAAATTTAAATTCAAATTCAAAGAATAATTGATACTCTCTCTCTCTCTCTATATATATATATGTATATATATTCATATTATTGTTCATGTTTTTATTTTTGTGAGTATATTTCTATTTTTGTTGGGCATATTATTGTTCATTGTTGTTTTTTTTGATCATGTTATTATTGTTATTTTTGAAAATATTAACACTCAATGTTATTATTTTTTTATTTTTGAATATTTATTATTTTTTTGTGTTTAAATGTTACTTTTTTTTTTGTTTAAATGGTACTATTTTTTTGTTTGAATGGTACTATTTTTTGTGTTTAAATATTACTTTTTTTTTTAAATGTTACTATATGTAGTTTAGCTTCTGGAGATAGAATACTCATTACTTTATAATATACTCTCTAGGTAAAAGTCATTATATCTGTTCCTTAAAATTATATCCATAAGTTTTAATAGGAACATATATAATGATTTTTACTTATAGAGTATATTATAAAGTAATGAATACTCTATCTCCAGAAGCTAAACTACATAACCATAAAGGTCAAACTACTTTAATTGAAACCAATATGATTAAAAATAAATTTGAAATTCTTAAAACTATTAAATTGTCAGAAATCCAATTTTTAGAAACA